TAAAAATGTAATACATTTTTTCAAGACACTTTTTAAACCAAAACTTGTTTCAAAGGAAATTGAATTCTGTTTCTAGCACAGTAACAATATTCCCTTTGAGGCTGTATCCACACGCCGGCTGACTTCAAGATAGAAATTGTATAAAATATAAAAAATATTTCTTAGGCGACTTCATATCTTGTAAATTTTCAGTCTCTTAGAACTCTTCAAATAAAGTCACTGCTGCAAGAGAAAATAAAGAAGGAAAGCTTTAACAAGAGGTAAACATAACACATCTTGATCTGATAATTCAAATAACTGAATATTTAAACACACAAAAGATCTGTAGCCCATGCTCCGTCCTTCACCCATTTATACATGGTATCTAGAACCCAGTCTAAGGAAATTAAGTACTACAATTCCAAAAAGAACCCCATTTTCAAGGTCTGCGAAACCAAAAGATGGAGAATGAGAACCCCCGCAGCATGGAGCATCAATCTGTTTTACACATGCTTCTCGGGTGGCAGGTGGGCTCCTTGTCCCCGTGAGCCGTTCCTGTATCATTCATTCTCCAGGGGAACACGTTCTTCACCTCCTTCACCACACTCTCAGGTGATGAGTGCAGAAGGAAGATCCTCATTCATATGGAACCTTGTATGCATCTGGTAGGGAGTCTCTGAAGCCACACCAAATGGAGTGAACCCTGGTCTCTACTGGGCTCAGGGCAGCTCAACTGGATTCCATCAGACACAGAGAACACAATCATGGAATGCTTGATCTTTGGTCTTTATTGCCTTTAGGGGTATTTGTCTGTTTTTGCCATGTGGAGATAGAAACCAGGGCTCACACACGCCAGACCAGTCTCCACTACTGAGCTATGCTCGGATCCCTTAGGTCTTCATTGCATTTGAGGGTTCTGGTTGTATTTTTAAGTCTTTCCAACAACTGCCCTTGTTATTACAAATAAAGCCCCATATTTATAAGTTTTCTACTTTCCAAAAGACTTTTTACAAATACCTCATCATTGACAGTCTTGTTCCCTTTGCTTTCTTGAAGACTGAGTTAACCCAGGATGGGACTAAAATTATAAAAGCCGCCAGTGCACAAAGAACCACACACATACACCATGCAGGTGAGCCAGACAAGGTTAAGGGACAGAACATCCTCCGGTCTGCCAAAACTGTGTCTTTCGTAAGTACTAAGCAAAAGAGGAGATGCAACAGTCTGAAGAAATATGAATAACAAAAATCAGTTGAGGTGCCTTACTTTAAGGACATATTATTTATTTTACAGCTCACCTTTCAAGACATGTACTCTAATATCATCCTATTATCCTTTTCTGTCATTCATAATGATTTACAATGGTTATGAGAGAGGAGAAAAAAAGGGAAGAGATATTAATAATTAAAATTGATTTCCCAAATGAGAGGAGTTAGGTAAGAGACTATGTTATCCCCTTAGCTAAAAAAGGAAATGAAACCCTGTTCCTTAAAGTGACATGAATCAAATTTAAATTATAATGAAATAAGTCATTCTCTGCACTGCATTGCCACTACTAGCAGGGCTGAGCCACACATTGGTCTATAAAGCTGACCAAAGTCCAATCAAAGGGTACTTTTAGGAAGGAGTCAATAAAGAAGAAATAATCCAGCACAGAAAAAGCCAGAAGGGCCAGCAATGAAAAAATACATAAATGGTACTAGAAAAAAAGAAAAAGAAAAGGCAAAACATGTTAAGATTTTCCAGAAAAACTTAAACTAGGCCATTATCTAAAAAACAGTTATTCCACTATTTTTATGTCTCCTCTTTATGTGCTTCTTAGACCTAGATATTTTTGTACCAAGAAAAATAACTGAGTCAAGGGCACAGGATGTCAGGCCTGGTGTGCAATGTTCCACTGCACTGACAGATTTCACTCCAACCTAGGAGAACTTCAAATTGAGAGTGTTTTGCAACAGATTCAACCAATCTTAAGGAGTCCACAAGCAAGACCACAGGAAGGGCTAACAATGAGGAATCTGGCCTAGAAGCCTGGATTCAAGTACAGACTCCCATTTCTAACTGTTAAACCTGTGCCATCCCTGTAGCCTGCTCTTGTAGGGTTGCTGGGGGCTTTATGTAAGATGGTGTATGCACAATGCATTATATGGGGCCAAGCATTCAGAATACTCCCAGAGTAGCTATTAGGACCATCATCCAATTCTCTGCTCTAAACAATCACATTAGCTTTCTTCAACAGCTGTCTTCTGCAGCTGATTAAGACTACGCTGCGCAAATATCTTTGAGAGAATAATTAAAAGATATAATTAAAAGATATATGCTGCTTCAAGACCTTACTACTAATATCAGAAACTAAGCAGAAATAGGTAAATCAATCTTTTTAAAATTCTTGCAATTCTGGTCTCTCCTTCTAAACACACAAATCCTAAAAAGCAGTACTTTAGTGGCATGATGCTATGAATATTCAGATAAATATCTTATAATGATGATCTACAGGGAAAGAAGACACCACATGCTCTATGACTTGTAAATTTCTAACTGTGGCCTTATTTCTGATAGTGTAATGAGGTGCCTAAAAATTGCAGGCTGTGTTACAGTACATTTTCACATTGCTAAATTCCTTCTTATTTCATTCCACAGATGTGAATACATTCTCGCTGATGAACAAATACCTACTTTGAAATTGTAGTAATTCTTTACACTATGCACCAATAAAAGTGTTGGGAAATTTGGTAGTTACAGTTTTACACAGAGTGCTCAAGTTGGAAGAAATTTAGTAAAACTTCCTTATACTGAAAACACAATTCAAAACTCTCAAGTATAACCACTTCCCTCCTGAAACAAGACTGATGGACAAAACTTAAGACTTTCACTACCAAAGACTTATCTGGATCAAAGGAAGACTATCTTTTTCATTAAAGCTCATTGTTCACTGCATCATCTTAATTGTAAAGATGAAGCCACAGTTTTATCATTGTTAGTTTCCACAGAAGCTTCAGTGTTAGGATTTATGTGTGCCTTGTTAAAAATGACCTTCTAGTAAAAAGGATCTGGTCCCTTTAAAAATTAGAAAAATGTTTCAAGAAACTAGAAACCTGTGCAAATTAATGGATACTGTGTGTCAGACCACAAAGGGCAGGGTGTTAAGGAATGAAAACACTTTCTGATTAATAACAACAGCACTGACATTTGCAGTCTTTCTAAGTGCCAGGTACTGGCAGGCTAAGTACTCCAGGTTCTTTAACTCAATCTTTCCAATGACTCTATGAGTCAGTGACAATTCCCATTTTCACAGGAGAACACTGAGGCTTACAGATTCTATTACTTGTCCAAGACCATACAAATTCTGAGAGGAAAGCTGGGAGTCTGCTCCAGGTGGTCAGACCTGGAAGGTAACATGGGCATGCTCACACTGCACTGTCATCTGATCACCAGGGCGACATCCAGGCATCACTGATCTGGTACCCTCACTTCTCTGCTCCCCACCTACATGGGAGGAGGGCAAAAGGAGGAAAATGCAGACGCCAGAAACACTGGTAGGGCCTTTCCAGGGAAAGTCATTATGGTCATAGGAACAGTTAAATGATGCGAAAAGCCTACACTGTAAAAGACACCCAGTCCCAAAGAAGATCAAAAAGTGCATCTGTAGGACGGGGTTCAGTGGTAGAGCTCTTATCTAGCATGCTAGAGCTCTGGTTCCATAAAAGAGAGAGAGAGACAGACAGACAGACAGAGACAGAGACAGGAAGAAAGTGCACCTACAGGACACTGAATTCTGAAAACATTGAAAGGCACAGGCCACAGGCACACACAACTTGAATAATAATTTTCTAGAACACTTTTAAATAAAATAAATGGGAAAGTTGTTCATAGAAACAGAGCTATAATGATTATGAGATCAAAATTCACAACGAAGTCCTGGGGCTACATCTATGTGATCATTTACTGATAATCTGTGATTTCTGTTGGTAATTTAAAGGCTCAAAACTCTTAGGGGCTGGGGATGTGGCTCAAGCGGTAGCGCGCTCGCCTGGCATGCGTGCAGCCTGGGTTCGATCCTCAGCACCACATACCAACAAAGATGTNGGAGGGAGGGAGGGGGGAGGGAGGGAGAGAGGGAGAAGGGAGAGAGAGACAGAATGTGTGTGTGTGTGTGTTTCCCAGGCCACTAGGAGTCTTAAATACAGAGCATTAGTTATGAGATTGGAAGCAGGAACATAAGGATAGGCAGGCAGAAGTTCGCATAGGTCCAGCTTATATGACAAGTGGGTTGTTTTGTTTTGGCCGCAAGTTTGGTCAAAACAAGGATTTTTATTTATTTATTCGTACTGGGGATTGAACCCAGGGGTACTTAACCACTGAAACATATCCCCAGCCCTTTTTACCCCATTATTTTTTATTTTGAGACAGGGTCTTGCTAAGTTGCTGAGGCTGGCTTCAAACTTGTGATCCTCCTGTCTCCACCTCCTGGGTCTCTGGAATTACTGGCATGTGCCACCATGCCCAGTTTGAAACAAGGATTTGTGAGTGTGTCTGTGTGTGCCTTTAAATTATTTTCCCCCATTATTAAGTGGATTAAATAAATGAGAATTGCTTAGTTCAAGTTAAAAAAAAAAAAAAAACCCTCTTGACATTAGATAAGTGACTGCTATGGTTTAAATGAGGTGTCCCCCAAAAGCTAGTGTGAAACAATACAAGGAAGTGTACAGGTGAAATGATGGGGTTTTGAGCTTTAACCTAGTTAGTGCATTAAATCCACTTGAACGGATTAACTGGATGGTGTTTGCAGGCAGGTAGGGTGTGGCTGAAAGAGTTAGGTCACTAGAGGCATGCCTCGGTGTTTATATTTTGTCCCTGGTGAGCAAGAGCTCTCTCTTTCTCTGCCATGTCCTGAGCTGCTTTTCTCTGTCACACTCTTTCTGCCATGATGCTCTGCCGTATCTCAGGCCCAGAGCAATGGAGCTGGCTGCCTATGGACTGAGACCTCTGAAACCATGAGTGCCAAGTAAACTTTTACTTCTCTAAAATTGTTTTTGTCAGTTCTTTCGATCACAGCAGTGAAGAAAATAACCAAAACAAAACTGACTAAAACAGTGACATGGGAGTGGCAAGGCGGTAGCAGAGTTAATGCTGAATTCCTGGACTAGGAAGCCAAGGTCTAGCATCTGGTCCTACTGGACTCCCCATGTCTTGGAGAATCAATTTCTCAGTACTAGACTAGATTATTTCCAAGGACCTTTTGTCACTCAAGTTTCTTTGTTTGTAACAGTCTGGCTAGGAAATCTAATGTGTGAGACAATGCAAGGAAGGTTAGAGGTGAAATGATTGGAGATTTTCTTGCAATCAGTATCAAAAGGGGATGGTAAACTTTGGGGGGATGGAAAGGGAAACACACATATACACAGAGCATGAGCTCAGACAATACAGGACTAATTCCACAGTATGTCACATAATGATCCTAAGGGGAAACTGTGTGTACCCCAAGCCCAGGGATAGACAACTGGGACAGATGGTGGCTGGGGGCCGCTGACAAGATTAAAAAAAATGAGCTCTTTCCCTCCCTAAAAATGTAATACATTTTTTCAAGACACTTTTTAAACCAAAACTTGTTTCAAAGGAAATTGAATTCTGTTTCTAGCACAGTAACAATATTCCCTTTGAGGCTGTATCCACACGCCGGCTGACTTCAAGATAGAAATTGTATAAAATATAAAAAATATTTCTTAGGCGACTTCATATCTTGTAAATTTTCAGTCTCTTAGAACTCTTCAAATAAAGTCACTGCTGCAAGAGAAAATAAAGAAGGAAAGCTTTAACAAGAGGTAAACATAACACATCTTGATCTGATAATTCAAATAACTGAATATTTAAACACACAAAAGATCTGTAGCCCATGCTCCGTCCTTCACCCATTTATACATGGTATCTAGAACCCAGTCTAAGGAAATTAAGTACTACAATTCCAAAAAGAACCCCATTTTCAAGGTCTGCGAAACCAAAAGATGGAGAATGAGAACCCCCGCAGCATGGAGCATCAATCTGTTTTACACATGCTTCTCGGGTGGCAGGTGGGCTCCTTGTCCCCGTGAGCCGTTCCTGTATCATTCATTCTCCAGGGGAACACGTTCTTCACCTCCTTCACCACACTCTCAGGTGATGAGTGCAGAAGGAAGATCCTCATTCATATGGAACCTTGTATGCATCTGGTAGGGAGTCTCTGAAGCCACACCAAATGGAGTGAACCCTGGTCTCTACTGGGCTCAGGGCAGCTCAACTGGATTCCATCAGACACAGAGAACACAATCATGGAATGCTTGATCTTTGGTCTTTATTGCCTTTAGGGGTATTTGTCTGTTTTTGCCATGTGGAGATAGAAACCAGGGCTCACACACGCCAGACCAGTCTCCACTACTGAGCTATGCTCGGATCCCTTAGGTCTTCATTGCATTTGAGGGTTCTGGTTGTATTTTTAAGTCTTTCCAACAACTGCCCTTGTTATTACAAATAAAGCCCCATATTTATAAGTTTTCTACTTTCCAAAAGACTTTTTACAAATACCTCATCATTGACAGTCTTGTTCCCTTTGCTTTCTTGAAGACTGAGTTAACCCAGGATGGGACTAAAATTATAAAAGCCGCCAGTGCACAAAGAACCACACACATACACCATGCAGGTGAGCCAGACAAGGTTAAGGGACAGAACATCCTCCGGTCTGCCAAAACTGTGTCTTTCGTAAGTACTAAGCAAAAGAGGAGATGCAACAGTCTGAAGAAATATGAATAACAAAAATCAGTTGAGGTGCCTTACTTTAAGGACATATTATTTATTTTACAGCTCACCTTTCAAGACATGTACTCTAATATCATCCTATTATCCTTTTCTGTCATTCATAATGATTTACAATGGTTATGAGAGAGGAGAAAAAAAGGGAAGAGATATTAATAATTAAAATTGATTTCCCAAATGAGAGGAGTTAGGTAAGAGACTATGTTATCCCCTTAGCTAAAAAAGGAAATGAAACCCTGTTCCTTAAAGTGACATGAATCAAATTTAAATTATAATGAAATAAGTCATTCTCTGCACTGCATTGCCACTACTAGCAGGGCTGAGCCACACATTGGTCTATAAAGCTGACCAAAGTCCAATCAAAGGGTACTTTTAGGAAGGAGTCAATAAAGAAGAAATAATCCAGCACAGAAAAAGCCAGAAGGGCCAGCAATGAAAAAATACATAAATGGTACTAGAAAAAAAGAAAAAGAAAAGGCAAAACATGTTAAGATTTTCCAGAAAAACTTAAACTAGGCCATTATCTAAAAAACAGTTATTCCACTATTTTTATGTCTCCTCTTTATGTGCTTCTTAGACCTAGATATTTTTGTACCAAGAAAAATAACTGAGTCAAGGGCACAGGATGTCAGGCCTGGTGTGCAATGTTCCACTGCACTGACAGATTTCACTCCAACCTAGGAGAACTTCAAATTGAGAGTGTTTTGCAACAGATTCAACCAATCTTAAGGAGTCCACAAGCAAGACCACAGGAAGGGCTAACAATGAGGAATCTGGCCTAGAAGCCTGGATTCAAGTACAGACTCCCATTTCTAACTGTTAAACCTGTGCCATCCCTGTAGCCTGCTCTTGTAGGGTTGCTGGGGGCTTTATGTAAGATGGTGTATGCACAATGCATTATATGGGGCCAAGCATTCAGAATACTCCCAGAGTAGCTATTAGGACCATCATCCAATTCTCTGCTCTAAACAATCACATTAGCTTTCTTCAACAGCTGTCTTCTGCAGCTGATTAAGACTACGCTGCGCAAATATCTTTGAGAGAATAATTAAAAGATATAATTAAAAGATATATGCTGCTTCAAGACCTTACTACTAATATCAGAAACTAAGCAGAAATAGGTAAATCAATCTTTTTAAAATTCTTGCAATTCTGGTCTCTCCTTCTAAACACACAAATCCTAAAAAGCAGTACTTTAGTGGCATGATGCTATGAATATTCAGATAAATATCTTATAATGATGATCTACAGGGAAAGAAGACACCACATGCTCTATGACTTGTAAATTTCTAACTGTGGCCTTATTTCTGATAGTGTAATGAGGTGCCTAAAAATTGCAGGCTGTGTTACAGTACATTTTCACATTGCTAAATTCCTTCTTATTTCATTCCACAGATGTGAATACATTCTCGCTGATGAACAAATACCTACTTTGAAATTGTAGTAATTCTTTACACTATGCACCAATAAAAGTGTTGGGAAATTTGGTAGTTACAGTTTTACACAGAGTGCTCAAGTTGGAAGAAATTTAGTAAAACTTCCTTATACTGAAAACACAATTCAAAACTCTCAAGTATAACCACTTCCCTCCTGAAACAAGACTGATGGACAAAACTTAAGACTTTCACTACCAAAGACTTATCTGGATCAAAGGAAGACTATCTTTTTCATTAAAGCTCATTGTTCACTGCATCATCTTAATTGTAAAGATGAAGCCACAGTTTTATCATTGTTAGTTTCCACAGAAGCTTCAGTGTTAGGATTTATGTGTGCCTTGTTAAAAATGACCTTCTAGTAAAAAGGATCTGGTCCCTTTAAAAATTAGAAAAATGTTTCAAGAAACTAGAAACCTGTGCAAATTAATGGATACTGTGTGTCAGACCACAAAGGGCAGGGTGTTAAGGAATGAAAACACTTTCTGATTAATAACAACAGCACTGACATTTGCAGTCTTTCTAAGTGCCAGGTACTGGCAGGCTAAGTACTCCAGGTTCTTTAACTCAATCTTTCCAATGACTCTATGAGTCAGTGACAATTCCCATTTTCACAGGAGAACACTGAGGCTTACAGATTCTATTACTTGTCCAAGACCATACAAATTCTGAGAGGAAAGCTGGGAGTCTGCTCCAGGTGGTCAGACCTGGAAGGTAACATGGGCATGCTCACACTGCACTGTCATCTGATCACCAGGGCGACATCCAGGCATCACTGATCTGGTACCCTCACTTCTCTGCTCCCCACCTACATGGGAGGAGGGCAAAAGGAGGAAAATGCAGACGCCAGAAACACTGGTAGGGCCTTTCCAGGGAAAGTCATTATGGTCATAGGAACAGTTAAATGATGCGAAAAGCCTACACTGTAAAAGACACCCAGTCCCAAAGAAGATCAAAAAGTGCATCTGTAGGACGGGGTTCAGTGGTAGAGCTCTTATCTAGCATGCTAGAGCTCTGGTTCCATAAAAGAGAGAGAGAGACAGACAGACAGACAGAGACAGAGACAGGAAGAAAGTGCACCTACAGGACACTGAATTCTGAAAACATTGAAAGGCACAGGCCACAGGCACACACAACTTGAATAATAATTTTCTAGAACACTTTTAAATAAAATAAATGGGAAAGTTGTTCATAGAAACAGAGCTATAATGATTATGAGATCAAAATTCACAACGAAGTCCTGGGGCTACATCTATGTGATCATTTACTGATAATCTGTGATTTCTGTTGGTAATTTAAAGGCTCAAAACTCTTAGGGGCTGGGGATGTGGCTCAAGCGGTAGCGCGCTCGCCTGGCATGCGTGCAGCCTGGGTTCGATCCTCAGCACCACATACCAACAAAGATGTTGTGTCCGCCGAGAACTAAAAAAATAAATATTAAAAAATTCTCTCTCTTTCTCTCTCTCTCTCCTCTCTCACTCTCTCTTTAAAAAAAAAAAAACAAAAAAACTCTTAGAAGATTTTCTTGTACTAGGTTCTCCTGAACACTATGTGGTCACATGCCCACAGATAGCAATTACCATAGACACGACACTAGCACCCTGTAGTAGCTCTACCTACACAGGGCGGCATCTTGGCCGGTGCAGATTAATGGGAATGCATCAGAGTGTACTTAGGGGTTTATAGTGCTTTAAATCTTGCTCTGGTATAAATTGTGTGTTAAATCCTATAAATTAATATTCACACCTTGCTATTTTACCTTTTTACTTTTTTTTTATTTTTTGATAGTGCTGGGGATATAGCACCCAGGGCCTCCCTTGCCCATTCTAGATAAGGGCTCAACCACTGAGGTACACCCCAGCCCTTATACAGTCTATTTACCTCAGAGTGTCTCAGAATGATCAGAACTTGCTTTAGACTTGGCTTAAATATTAATGAAAATTGCAAATTCCTTGGATCACACCCCAAACGTACTAAATCAGAATTCACGGGGCTAGAGCCCAGGAATTTGCTTTCTTACAAGGTGCCCAGGTGACACTAACACACATATAAAGGTTTAAGCCATGAGGTCAAACCCATTACTAACATTTGTCAACTGATTAATAACTGTAAGAATTTAAGTTGCTTCAAAAATTTTGCAAACATAACACTACATAGTAAGCTTAAAAAATATATATATATATATATATACATATATGTGTGTATATATATATATACACACATACATATACATGTTGTGTATACACACTGCCCATGAGAAATTGTGCACTCATTCCTTGCAGTTTTGAATCTTCTGACACCAGGATTAGATATTACTGAGAAGTCTGAAGATTGCCCTTTACTGCATTATATACTCATAGCAATTCAAATGTATCATATATTTTACTAATAATTTTCCCAAGTGACAATAACTGAACACTTGTGATTTAGCAGCCCTTGGGATGGTAAGTTTCAAAATGCCACATTTCAAGTAAAATGTAATTGAAATCAAAATGACACTGTATTAGAAAAAAAAGGATTCAACTGGCAACTATTTGAATGGAATTCAGCAGTTCCCTAGGAGTG